TTCTATTTTTCATGTTCTCGTCGATCTTTTTCTCTATGTGATGGCTGGATGCTTCATCAAATGATGAAAAGCAAGTAGTTTCTCTCAATTGCAATAGAAGATCGATTTGAATAGATGAAACCACGCATAATGAAAAATTGAAAACAGTGCTTATCTTTGAAAAAGTTTCGCGATCTCTGTGAAAATGGAGATTGGACGTCAGAATGCTAAAAAATTATAGAGCAAGCTTACAAAGGACAAAAGAAAAACTAGTTTTCTATTCCCTTTTTATTCTCCATTTTCTTTTTCTAGAATTCTTGGATAATGTTGATCCGGCTCATGTAGGACAAAGACTGGGATAAAAGGTTATTGCTGGGTTCTATTGTCTTAGTCATATATTCTGAAGAAAAATAACCTCTAGTAGCATTGCAAGAACTTTAGTCTTGGTGTGGTACATAAAAACTTTTTCTAATTTTACTTTTTAAATTTATATGTATTTTGTTTACAAAATCATAAGAGTTTGTCAACAATAAAAGGTACTACCGTGAAAATGACAATGAAATTTAGAATTTTTAAAAAGTTATTTTTAATGTTAGCTAGAAACTATTTTATTTGAGTTTTGGTTATTACACAAATATGCAACTCTTACGTGCTTGTATGAATAAAAACATACGTAGACACGTAAAAACTTAGAAAACAAGAATTAGAAAAGGTATCATGTACCGAATGGAGTTACCAAGGCTTAAATTGTGTCATCTAAATCCTAGTCATGATACTCCCTGATGAAACCTCAAAGATTCTTGTATATAAAATATTGGTATTAGGGAATGATGAAATTAATGGGTTTGTGACCTATATATCTTGTTATATATGTATATATTGATTTCATCTCCTGTTTTATGCTGTGGGGAAGATTGATCAAATCCATAATGATGGAAATGCTGCTTATGGAATCTTTCAAGTTGATGATGCCTGAAGGTGCATATGCACAAAGCTGTTTTATACAGTAAACATCTCCCCTGGCCACAAAGTAGTTTTTCAGAAAAGTGTAAACATTAGCTTGTACAGTTTATCTCTGAATTTGGAGGACTGATGAATGTCATGAATTGAGTTAATTAGGAAAAAAGGATGGAGATGAAACTGCTCCACCATTGGTAATAACTCGAATTGTTGCCATTTTTCAGTGTCATGTTTTAACAATTCTTTTGTGTAAAAGTGAAAAAGATTGTTTAGGCTGTAATTGATACATGAAGTTATTATTTTTTTAATTTTACTTTTTAAATTTGAATATGTTTATAAATAAAATAATTAAATAATGATAACAATTTAAAAATGATTGTAGAAATAAGAGAATTTAAAAAAAAAAAACTGAAAAAATTATTTTTACTATATTTTTAATTGAAGTTTAGATCATGGTTTTATTTCTGATCAAATGTTGTCACATAATAAGATAACTTATAAAAGATTTCTAAGTTTAATAGTATCGAGTTTTGTTTTATGTTTTTCTCCTTTAAATTTAAGTAAGATTTATTAATGTTGTTAATTATAGAATAATTTGGTTAATTATAAAAAAAAAGTCCTTAATCTTCTACTCCTTTTTTTAATTTTTAGTTTAATGGAATGCTCATGTTTTAATTCGTTTCCATTGCTTCAATTAAAGTCTTTAATTTCTTATTTTTTAAATCAGTAATTTAGTTAATAAATAAAATTTGAATATATTAATTAATTGATAATTGTATAATTAATTTTTAATATTATAATTTTTATGTTAATTAATATATTTTATTAAAAAATTATATAGTTTTAAAGTGTCGATGAACTTAATTTCTGCAAGGATAAAAAAGTTTTAAATTTAAGCATAGCTCTCTCCTCCAACGTCGATATGTCCGAGTGGTTAAAGAGACAGACTCGAAATCTGTTGGGCTATGCCTGCGCAGGTTCGAATCCTGCTGTCGACGATATTTATTTTTTGGTTAATAATTACTTTCTGATTTCGGATTCCAGAGAAGAGCCTTTATTTCCTAATTGTAAGTCTACCATAATACTAATAATAATAATAATATAAGAATTTTGTGAATGGCTGGAAAAATACAAAAAGTATTTATTATTTATATTAGATTTCTATTTCATGCTACACACATATTATAAATTTAAAAATTAATTAAATAATATATAAATTTTAATTAATGAAAAATTAAATTCTAATTTTATTTGAAAATTTTAAATAAATAATTATTATTTATATTATCAATTCTTTTTATATTTGAAAAGCATATAGTATATGATTTGTGGTAATTAAAAATTAAATTCTATTTTTATTTTAAAAATTCGAATAGATAAATATTATGTATTAATGTTATTTTTTAAAAATTAAATGTGTATTTTTATGTAAATAAAAAATGTACATTATTTAATGAACAATGAAGACATTTTAATTGTACAAGTTATGTTAATATTATAATTTTTGGAGCTACAAATGAGAAAATGTACTAACAATTTTATAGAAGTATGGAAGCTTAACTTGAAATGAGTATGATTTTTTAAATAAACTATTTTTTAAGCCTAAAGTGAAACAAATAATTGAAAAGATTTTCATTATACACGCGCACACATGAAATAAATTAAAAATTAAGAAGAAAAAAATATTTGAAGAAAAATATAAAATATACATGTTGTGTGTGAGTATTAAAATTGCTTATAAGCTAATTGACTTACTGAATATATAAACGAAAAAATAAAACATATAACAACTATTGCTGAAAAGAGATAAATAGAAAATAATAAAACATATATTAGAATAACAAACTCAATTATTTATGTCAATACTCAATAGATGAACAATAAATAAAAAATTATCATACGTTTTAAATGAGATTATAATAAATAACGATAATATTAGGAAATTCGAAGACATCAATGGGGGTTTCAGGAAGAGTTACCTTTTCTGTTTAACAGTTTGTCCACCATGAAAATAGCTCAGTCGTAAATAGGATCAAGTGGTTGGAAGAACACTGCATGTTGCGTAGTGTTCGATGCACCTCCGGTGGCCCTTGAAAATCCAGAAGACAGAGTGCCTTTCACATCCAGTTGTACTCATAACCGCATTATATCTTCAAGATGAACAATCTTTGGTCGATAGAATAATGTAGGCAACGGAAGTCAGCAAAATGGATCCGTAACCTCGTTAAAAGGATTGACTCTCAAGATTGGACATAAGGTGTAGGTAACTATATATTTGATAATAAAAATGAGGTTTTAATTTGTGTTTTTAAATATATATATTATTTATTTATTTAATATTTTTAATTCTTAATGAAAAAAAAATTAATTGGTTCAAAAATTTTAAATCGTATTGAATCAAATATTATTTAGTAAAATTTTCTATTTAAGATCCAACAATGCTTATCCCTATTAAAAATATCAACAAAATGTTTCTTCTAAAGCTGGTTAACCTATTTGGACCAGGCAATGCTCATGAAAGCACTATCAAGAAAATTCTCTTTTAGCTGAGTAACGTAGTTGCATAAAAGATCCGTAGCTCTGATAATTTAGATAAAAACCATGGCCAGGTACAATTATTCAAACTGAGCCTTTCTCTCTCTTGCTTTCCAATTGGCATCTGGCAACGGGTTTCATCTCTCTCCGCCACTCTCATCTACCGTTCTTTCTGCTTTGAAGCCACTGAACCACCTCCATATCTGTAGCCTATAGGTATCGGTTCTTGTTTGTATTGTTTTCAGTTTTGGAAGATTGGAGACATGGATTTGAAACCCAGTTTCTCTGTTAAATCCTCTCCATCTTCCACTCCTGCTCTCTTCGGCACTCTGTGCCGACCCCGGGAATTTGGGTGTCGATCGAGTTCAAGAGTTTCCGCGTCTGTTTCATC